AACAATATACTTATTTACGAATAGTCCACTCTCTTCACAAAAACACAAATACCACTTGAGATAGAAATTCCGGCAACTGCACGACACTTCTTCCAAAAGACACGATACCCCAAGAAAGGAATTTCGACTTTCTATTCACTCATAACTGAAATACAGTTCACTACAAACAACTCTTCCTTACTCAATTGGGAAAAGAATCTCTCCCAACCAATCACTCTAAACACTTGGGAAAAGACATTCAATATCACATTTAAAGCTTCTAAATGTAGCTCCCATTGGGAGAATTATCTGAAAATCCTACACCATTGGTATCTGACACCAACTAAATTATCCCAATTTTACCCTCAACATTCACAACTCTGCTGGAGACATTGTGGAGAAAAGGGATCTCTCCTTCACATACTTTGGGACTGTAAATCTCTTAAATCTTATTGGAACAAGGTTTTCCAGATCATCTCATCACTCACAGGAACTCCAATTACTCCAAATCCCGCCCTAGCTCTCCTCCACATCGGAATAGACATATTCCCTGTAAAGGTACGCACTATTATCATCCACATTCTAGCAGCTGCAAAACTTAACATCACCAGACTATGGAGATCCACTACAACCCCTTTATTATCCCGCCTCATTTCCGATCTCAATTTCCAATGCGAGATGGAAAGAAGAACCGCACTCTATAATTCCTCCTACCATAAATTTAAAACCAATTGGTCACGATGGTTAAATAATCCCAGTTGCTCAATTAAATGATTACTATTCAAAAGGAACACATTATTCTCTACCCATACTGAATTGGTGCTTACCCTCCCTTCCCCCCACTTCCTTCCCTGTTCTTCCACTACCCTCATGTTCTCCTCACTATTATGCCCCACTAGTCTTCTAGAATGGTTCACAACATACAGAGCATACCTCTCATGTAACTAATCTACAGGAATACAAGTTCCCCGGCCACTTGGTGGGGATTCTTCGCTTATCTTTTGTCATTATTTCTTATATAATGTTATTCTCGATGTGAACCAAAATGTTCGACTATCTAATATTACTTATGTATGTTTAAATTTCAATAAAAATTATTTGAATATAAAGCTCTCCCAGGAAAATATCTTCTGAATGGAAGCAGGCAGCAGGATGACACTAATCAACATCCCTATCCCACGCCACCTTGTTGTTTCTTTTTTCTATACCGCCCGCTGTGTGCTTGGACAGTGGATAATCAGGCTGCAGGCCTGGCACAAAGGCTACATGGAGATGTGATCTGTGTTCAGGAAACGCACTTCTCCTCCTCCAAACCATCACATTGTTCACACTGCTTGTTCCCATATATTTTCGCATCTAATGGTCCTGACAAGAAGTGAGGCGTTCTAATTGCTATCTGAGACTCTGTTGCTTTTTCATTACTATCTCAGGTGTCCGACAGTAAGGGCAGATTCCTAATTATTGTGTGTGAAATTAACAACATTGTATATACCATTGTGAACCTCTACGCTCCCAATGTCCACCAAGTCTACTTTTTTAAATCCTTGCGGAAAAAAGTGGCAAAATTCCAGAAGAGTTTCATGCTATATTGCGGAGATTTCAACACTATTATAAATAACTCGCTTGATACTTCCAATCCCTTCCACCACTTGAGACATTCCTTAGCTCATGCCTTAACTGAAGCCAACCTCTACGATCCCTGGAGATGTCTCCATGCATCTGAAAAGGACTTTACGTACTATTCAGCACCCCACAAATCATATTCAAGAATTGACATTTTTCTAACGGATGTCCAATTACTGCACAATATCTCTAAAGCTGAGATCCATCCAATGATGTGGTCGGACCATGCACCTACCTCATTGAATATTGAAGAGACTCTGAAATTTTCTCCAGTATTTCTATGGCGAAATGATGTCTCAATGTTTTGTAATCCTGATTTTCGTTCAGTTCTTAATACGGCTTTACAGGAATATTTTGATATAATTCGTCACCTGACATAAATGCTTTTAGCATGTTGTGCGCTTATAAAGTGTACTGTAGAGGTTTATTACTGAAGCTGGCAACACAAGCTAGACGCAATAGGAATCAAGTTTTTTCTGACATGGTTGATAAAATAGCTAAACGTGAACTTAAACATAAACAAACTTTGGCCCCTATTGTATTGCAGGAACTTCAAACAACTAGACTTACACTTAGGAATCTACTATTATGGCGACATGAACAAAATTTGAAAAAGGCCAAAGCTAAGTTTTACACACAAGGGGACAAAGCGGGTAAAATGCTTGCAAAATATCTAGCAACTAGACCAGGGGTGGCCAACCTGCGGCTCTCCAGCTGCTGCAGGACTACAAGTTCCATCATGCCTCTGCAAGTCAGTAACTTCCCATCTTTGCAATGCCTCATGGGAAATGTAGTTCCACAACAGCTGGAGAGCCACAGGTTAGCCACCCCTGAACTAGACAATCCAAATCTAAACTATCCTCAGTTCTGGACCTTATGTCTAATACACTTACTTACCACCCTAATAAAATAGTAGAAGCGTTTCGCTCCTACTACTCCCAATTATACAATCCTAAAGACGACCCTCACACTCCCCAACCTACACCAGAGTTGATCGATCAATTCTTGAATAAACTGTCTTTGCCAGCACTGGATCGCCAAAAATTAGAAAAAAAATTTCAAAAAAATTCTGGAAAATGAGATAATAGCGGCTATTAAAACGTTAACCAAAAGGGAAATCCCCGGGGGCTGATGGTTTTTCAAATGAATACTACAAGAAATTTCAATCCATGTGAGTACCACACCTTAAAAGAAAATTTGATGAAGCTGTGCTTAAGTCCACATTTCCACCAGAAATGTTAAAGGCTATCATTGTTACCTTACCTAAACCAGGGAAGACCCCGGATCACCCTCAAAACTTTCGGCCCATTTCCCTACTTAACTCTGATCTTAAAATATATGCCAAAATGATAGCAACTTGCCTCCTTAACATAACTCCTCTCCTTATTAGGGCTAACCAAGTGGGCTTTGTTAAAGGTAGGCAGGCAGCTGATGGTACCCGCACATTATTTGATCTGATGCACTTAGTTGAAACTCGGGGCTACAGGCTGTGTTCTTGGTATTGGATGCCGAGAAAGCCTTCGATAGGGTGCACTGGCAATATCTGGATGCTACTTTTAAACAAATTTAAATTTAAGTGGATTTATAAAATCGGCTATTATGGCACTGTGTACTATTCCCAATGCACAAGTATTTACGCCTAATGCTCTATCGGAACCCTTAAGCATCACTAATGGAACAAGGCACGGCTGTCTGCTTTCTCCCATTATTTTCTCCCTAGTAATGGAACCTCTAGCAACTGCAATTAGAGCTAACCCATGGATCTCGGGCATCCGAGTTGCAGGTAATTACCATAAAATTGGATTGTTTGCAGACGATGTTATTCTTACTGTTACCGACCCTGTGAACTCCCTTACAGAAATCTCGGCTACTTTGCAGTCATTTAGTGCAGTCTCCTATTATAAACTTAACATTACCAAATCATGTGCTCTACCAATAACTATAGCAAAGGGCCCCTTAAAAGACCTCAAGGACAAATTTCCCTATAGCTGGACCCATAAAAAACTAGATTAAATAGGTATATATATATCTGCCCCAAATTCCAATACTTTTAAAGATAACTACGAAAAATTGTATCAGTCTGTCTTAGTGGAACTACAACGGCTTGACAAATTTGAAATCTCATGGATAGCTAGAAAAGCAGCGTTGAAGATTCTGATTCTTCCTAAAATATTGTACTACTTCCGACTGATTCCAATTGTTATCCCTCATGCCTATTTCGTTAAGTTAGAGGTGGCTGTTAAAACCTATATTTGGCGGGGGAGGAAACCGTGGATCCCGTTCTTATTCCTTACTAAACAAATCCAAAGGGGGGATAGGTCTCCCGATGCTTTCTACTTATTTTTATGCAACTATCTTAGATCAGCTCCCGGCGTGGTTTGTCCCGTCAGACAAACTATGGGTACAAATTGAGCAGTCTGTAGTCCCCAATAGAGACCTTCGGGCTTTATTATTAGCTAAATCAGTCAAGTCCAAACTCTTACCTACATTTCTTCCATCTATCACTGCATCTCTTGAAGCATGGATATTTGGTCTAAATAAAATTAATACCTCTTCTCCTAAACTTCAAATTGACATTCCTTTGTCAGCATATGAATACATTATCCCAAACCTCAACGCCAATCCTTTAAAAGAGTTGGGTTACAGCACTTTTACTGAAATAGGAAATACTATCCCAAGCATAGGCCTTCCCTCCCTTCTACAAATTTAGAGGTTTTCATAGGACGAACCCGAAAACATGGATTGAAATAGACTCTAAACTATGGCATGTTTTGACTAACCCTATTCGGCTAAAAAAAAAGGTATTTACATTATGATAATGATTTTTCTACTCTTAGCAGTATAGGTAGATGGGAAAAAGCTCTACAAAGATCATTCACTAGAGATGAGTGGGATGCGGCCTTGAGTAATAATTTGAATATTACTAAATGTACAAATCATTGGAATTGTTCTTTTCAAATATTATACCGTAGCTACCTCACCCCATACAAACTTGCTAAAATGTATCCCAATGAGTCACCATTATGCTGGAGGATTTGTGGAAAAGAAGGTAACCTGCTTCATATTATGTGGGAATGCTCATGCTTACATAAGTTTTGGCAGGAGGTATTTGCACTTATTTCACAGGTGTCTGGAGTGATGACCAGCCCAGTACCTCACTTGGCGCTGCTTAGTATTTCCTTACACCTATTTCCTGTTCAGTTTAGAACAATAGTTGGCCACAGGGGTGGACTGACCATTCGAGCACTCGGGCGCTGCCCGAGGGCCTGGCGTCAGTAGGGGCCCCCATGAAATGCCCCTCATACCTTTTATAGGCTTTTTTGGGTGTGCTTTGAGTGTGGGCAAGGACACAGGGGCCCCATGATCCCCTATTGCCTGGGGGCCCCATGAGTTGTCAGTCCGCCCCTGGTTTGCCATGTACTTATAGCCGCCAGAATGTCTATCACGGCTGCTTGGAAGTCAATGAGGACCCCCTCCATATCAGAAGTGATCCAAAGAGTAAACTCACGTTATATTTGCGAGAAAGCTGGGGCTCTTCAATGCCAGAATATGGGGAAGTTTGACTTGAAGTTGTCCAGTTGGAGGGGAAGGTTTCTGCTGCACAATACGATTATTTAGTATTGCATATCATATTGTTTTCTTGGCTGAAACTGTGCTGTGTCTCATCTCTCTCTATCTATTTCTTCCTCACTCCTTTGCATTTTTTCTTTTTCTCCTTTTGTTTTTGTTCATGACTATAATAAGCACAATGCACACACTATGCGCCGTAATGGAAACTAAAATGGCAAATGTTGACGTGTTTTGTTATGTATACCCTTGTAGGCCAATAGGCCAGTATACGACTGTTTTATTAGATCTGAGAGCGTAATTGTGCCATGGTGCTAAGATAAGTTTATATATATTTTCTAATCTGAACTATCTTTTTCATTGTAATTGTTTAAAAAACTCAATAAAAAAGATTTTAAAAGAAAGTGTAGGGTTTTAAAAAGCAGAATAAAAAAAAAGAGAAGGGTAAGAGAAATTAATCACAAGCTCTAATTTTTGTATACTATGTACACTGGGTAAACATAAACCGTATGTAGACACCATAAACAAAATCATTTTCTAGGCTAGTATGCCTTTAAAACATCATTCCATTTACCTATACATATTATAATGGGCCACCAGGCAGTCAACCACCACTAATTATCAATAAAAATGTTTTTCTCTCAGCTAGCCATTAAAAAACATACTGTACATAGAAATATTATTTGTAATATCTAAAAATGTTAAAATTAAATTAGAAAGCATTACCATTAGGGTCAGGTTCAGTCAGAGTTTAGCCAAATAACAAGCTGATATTTTTCACTGGTCAGAACCAGCCATAATGTTCTTTGCACTTCTGTTGCAGGAAGCATACACAAAGCTTAAAATAATTGATCACATTTTGATCTCCTACCATCATCCAGCCTTCTCCCTTCATTCCTCATCTTGCATTCAAGCCTAACAATTCATCCCATTTGACTCAAACCATTTAATCTTGGCTAATGCAATGTTAAACCATGTTCTAAATTGTTTCATTTTTACATAACGGCATTGCCTGGAGAGAAGTAAACAAGAATTCAATTCCAGGAAAACCATTATGGCTTTTGAATTTAAGTAAAAAACACAGATTCCCACAAGTCTTTGGGGAAAACACACCCTGGTAGATATTTTTAGGAAGACATAAAAGAACTGTCACTGGGACACTGTCAGCTTGCAATAATAAAAATATGAACTTTACTGTGAGTTGTGTGCTTTTTAAAGTGGAGCACTACCCAAACTTTTTTAAACTTGTGATATGACCAAACACTTTTTTTTTTTGTCATGAGGTAGAGCTCAGTCCAACCACTGTGTCCCTAATGTTGTCTAGGACCCCACTGAATTAATTTTCCCTAATCCCTAATTGCCCTCTCCAAATTGCTTTCTCCACCAACTCAGTGACCCCCAAAACAAGAATATATTGAATATAAAATTGACTTCACTTTTAGTAAAGTTATTCTCAACACCCCCCCCCCCCTCCCCCCAACACACACACACTCCTTCATTGTAACCCACAGGGAAAAATACTTACCTTCAGGCCTATGCCAGAGATCTTCCAGTTGGACCCTGTACCAACTGTGCACGCTAGCTACTGATGTTCTCATGGAGGACACAGATATGCAGAGGGGTACAGGCCCAGCTATATTAACAAATGAGGCCATGATGAGCATGCACAGTTAGCCTAAGGACTTACTGAGACTTTTTTTGCAAGCAAAAGCTGTATGTTGCAGACCATTGCAGTATAGTGGAGATGTCCAGAGTGTAGCTGACGGTAAGTATTTCCATATGCGTGTTACAGTGAGGTGGAAGAGAGGAGGTGTAAAGGACAACGCTACTAAAAGAGGTTTTAGGCTCTTTTCATTTATAACAGCATTTATCATGAAGCACATCACCATATAACTATAAATCTTATGTTAAATGTATATTATTGCATAACCAATTCAATTGTAATATGAAATCAAATCATACTCCTACTCCTAGACCTTTCCCCTGCCTTTGACACAGTCGACCACCTGCTCCTCTAAACTCCACTCCATTGGCCTCCATGACTCTGCTCTCTCCTGATTCTCCTCTTGCTTTTCTTAGCACACTTTCAGCTTCACATACAACAACTCTTCCTCTTTCCATTGGGGTACCCCAAGGCTCTGTCCTTGGGCCTCTCCTTTTCTCTCTCTACACCTCCTCCTGGGCCAATTGATAACCTCTGATGGCTTTCAATACCACTGCTATGCCGATGACACCCAGATCTATCTCTCCACTCCTCAGCTCACCTCCTCAATCTCTTCACATATCACAAATCTACTAAGTGACATATCAGTATGGATGTCACACCACTACCTTAGACTCAATCTTTCAAAAACCGAGCTTATATTTCCTCCTCCCCGATCCCCCACTCATGACTCATGGCTCAGCAGCACAACCATTGGTCCTTCCCCACATGCCAGGGTGCTAGGTGTAGTCCTAGACTCTGACCTCTCCTTTGGGCCTCACATACAATCACTGGCTAAATCTTGCCACCTCAACCTCCAACATTTCCAAAATCCGCCGCTTTCTGACCAATGACACCACAAAACAACTCATCCATGCCTTGGTTATATCCTGCCTTCATAACTGCAACTTTCTCCTCACTAGTCTACCGTTACACAGGTTGTCCCCCCTTCAGTCTATTATGAATAGAGAAAAACAAAAGGCTCTGAGGAAGAGGCTATTCCTCGAAATGCATCAGCTATTTTGGATGTCCATCATTCTCATCACCATTCAGAAACGTAGTGCGAATTGGACAGAGTGGTCTCATATGATGTGCTTATATTCATGTACTTTTGTGAGTAGAATACCTTCTTTTAATTTAATAAACATATTTTTTTTTTATATTAACAATTTTTATTGGTTTTCAAGTAAATCAAGTGTTACAGAAAACAAAGAAAAAAATAAAACAAGCAAAACAGAGAGGTACATCAATGGCTAGTATTACATTGGTCAAGACCAGTGGAGTCATATAGTAACAGTGCGAGAAAAATCAGGGTCTTACAATTTGGGCTGGCATAGAGGAAGAGAAGGTATTCCACGGGAGCCAAATCATCTCAAATACAGCAAACGAACCACTATGTGAAGCAGTCAAACACTCCATCTGTCTTACATCGGTAATAAGTTTATACAAAGTTGGCAATGAAGGTGGGGTAGAGGATAACCAACACATAGGAATACTTCTCCTGGCCGTGGTTAGCACATGTGCAGCAAGTTTTCTGGCTAGTTTAGATAGAAGGGCAAGCCCAGCAAAAAATGCAGTGGGTCAAATGGGAGAGAAACTTGCAACAATGATTTCAACAAGGAGCGGGCCTCTTCCCAAAAAGGAGCAATGGAGCTGCAGGTCCAAAAAATATGATAAAGAGAGCCAGAAGCTCTACTACAGCGCCAGCAGGCAGGAGAAGCACTCGGAATATAAACATGAAGAACTTCCGGTGTTTTGTACCACAACATCATAATCTTGTATATGTTTTCCTTAAAAACCACACAAATAGAGGATTTAGATGCATTATCCCATATTTTCTTCCACGTTAATAAGTCAATATCACGTTGTATAAATTGAGACCAACCTACGCATATAAAGGTGAGCGTCATTGGACAAAGGGGGGTCTCCATAAGAAGTTTATAGGTGCTAGAGACAATACCCCTTTGGTGGGGACCTTCCATACATAGACGTTCGAAGGGGGGTAGGTTTTCCCCAAGCTCAATGAGGGTGATAGAGTAGAGAAAAAGTGGCGTATTTGAAGATATATATATAGATGACGAGAGGGTAGAGAGGCTTTCCTCTGGAGATCCGAGAATGAATGTAACTTACGAGTCACCGGGTGTACCAAGTGACGTAGTTGAAAAAGGTTAGATACTACCCAGAGAGACATCCGGGACATGGCCATTATGTCTGGAAGATTAGGGTTATAAAGGATATTTGTCAGTGGGGAGCATTGAGAAGCCAATGTGAATTTAGCCTTACATTTCTGCCAAACAGTCAATGAAAAAAGCATGGGGCCTAGGAATAAGTGGCGAAAAGAAAGGACATCCAGGTCGACCAGAGAAGGGAACACAGATGTACTGGGGATAATTGTAAAGACTCATCTCAGTCCATGTATTGGGAGGGTAAATGAACGGACCATGACATAAGAAAGCGAAGGTGGGTTGCAAAATAGTATGTTTATTATATTCGGTGCTCCCAAGCCTCCCCTAGAACGTGGGGAAAGCAGAACAGAACGAGCAATCCTGTGCCGCTTGTTGTGCCAAATAAAATGTAAGAAAGATTTCTGAAGGGAGTGAAGCTTGGACATAGGAACGGGTACGGGGAGGGTTGCAAACAGATATAAAAGTTTGGGTAGCACGGTCATTTTTAAGACATTAATACGACCGAGAAAAGAGAGAGGCAAGGCATCCCAGTGTTTCAGGGAGCGAGAAATTGCTATAAACAGTGGGGGGAAATTGGCCTCGTATATGGATTGGTAAGAGGAAGTAAGGTTGGTGCCTAAATATTTTAAAGAGTGGGTGCACCACCGGTAGGGAAAGGCTGCCTGAAGGGAGGAAAGAACAACAGGAGAAACATGTATTGGAAGTGCCTCAGTTTTGGACGTGTTGACCTTATAGCCTGATAAAGCTCCAAATTGTTTCAAAATTTTGTGCAAAATCGTAAAGAGGTATGTGGACTCGTAAGTGTTGAGGAGGATGTCATCTGCAAATAACGATAATTTGTACTCATGAGAATGGGATTGTATCCCCCGGATATCCGGAATTCGACCTGATGGCAACAGCCAATGGTTCCAGACAGAGAATGAACAGCAGGGGAGAGAGTGGACAGCCCTGACGAGTGCCATTTGACATCTGAAAGGGGGGTGAGAGAAAGGAAGCTAATCTGACCTGTGGGAAAGGGGATGAATAA